AGGGTGCCATTACATGGAGCGCGGAAACGCGGATTAGCGTAACGCGGAACGAGAAGGGAACCAATCGCGAGCATAACAAAAACTGCAGAATGCTCGCGATTGGTTTCACTCTCGTTCCGCGTTACGCTAATCCGCGTTTCCGCGCTCCATGTAATGGCACCCTTAAGTAATGTCTTAAGATGCTAATACGGCTTTGTGATTGGTTTAGGGCATCTTAAGACGGTTTTAAATATAAGAACTGACTATGAATACCGGCCTAGGGCCCGTATTCATAATCGGTTCTTATATTTAAGATTGTCTTAAGTACAATCTTAAGATGTCATAAACCAATCACAGAGCCGTATTAGCATCTTAAGACATTATTTAAGACGGTCTTGAGATAAGAACCGACTATGAATACGGGCCTATATGTCGATGGGGGGAGGGGGCAGAAACCGAGCAGGATCTACGCGCGCGCAATCTGACGTCAGATTGGTAGCAAAAACCGAGCAGAATCTGCAGCAGCTTTTGGCCATTCATGGTTTGCAAGCCGTATTTAAGATGATCTTAAATATAAGAACGGACTATGAATACCGGCCGTAGTCAGTTCTTATATTTAAGACCGTCTTAAGTACAATCTTAAGATGTCATAAACCGATCACAAAGCCGTATTAGCATCTTAAGACATTACTTAAGATAGTCTTGAAATAAGAACCGATTATGAGTATGGGCCTTAGGCTATACGCAGGCGGCTACGTCTGTGTTAGTAAATTCCGTGGTAAATGGTGGGGGTTCCCATTTCCCACAATCTGGCAGCTCTGCACAAGAGCTTTATTATAATAAAGTGTTTTAATTGATATTGTTCTATATTATTAGATATTATTATTATTATTTATTTGTTATTAAAAATCAATTTTTAAAGAAACATTTATCTAATCCAACATTTTAAAAAATAGCACATAATCTTTAATAATAGACAAATACAATAATAAATATTTATGCTGGAAGAAATAAAATCGTAGTTGTCAAAATCATAATATATTAATATAATACATAGATTAAAACCAAAATATAAAGATAAATAGATTTAAAATGCAAAAAATAGAGAACAAAATTCTTATTTAATATTTTGTTAGTATTTAATCTCAGAACACATCTTGGAAAGGGAAATGAGCTTTGTCCGGTTCGATAAGATCAGCCAGAAAGCAGGCGGTGCCGGCAATTCCTTCGTAAAGCGAATATGGTGAGTCAGGTATACGTGCATCAGATTGAAACTGTGGTAAGTTCATAAAGTCTGCAAATTTGGCGGCTCGATAGAGGTGAAGTTCATTGCCAGTGAGTTTGTATAGGAGAAGAAAGACATAACCGTTGCCGGCTACACCGTGACAAATCCCAGGCCCTTTACGCAGGAGGCCTTTACGCCAGACAAGGTCACCAGCAAGTATGCATGAGTTTAGATAACGTTGATCCTTCCAGCGCAGGTATGCCGCTGCCATCATATAAATAACGCCAGGAGCACCGTGACACCAATGCACTAATTCATCGTCACTATCTTTACGAGCTTGTTCAGAACGATTTATTTCATCCATAGCGCACGGAAAATTGCCAGAAGTCATTTGTAAGCTGAATAGATAATCCACACAAGTTCGTGTAATGCTCTCAATATCGGCATTGTTATCTAAGAATGATGGCACCTGGACATAAAGGAGAATAATATAATTAAATAATATAAATAAGTAATGTATATAATATACA